CGCTCCGGTTCGCCTGGCCGTCAGCTGTTTGGCGGGCCACCGCCCATCAGCTGTTTGGCGGCTCCAGTGCCTTCTGTGCATGCGTGGCTTCCCACAGCCTCCTTCTGCGCAGGTGCTGCTTCCTGGGCCTCCTTTTGCGCAGGTGCGGCTTTTCGAGCTGTCGGGAACCTCCCGTCGGATGTTTGGCGTCCCGAACGCCTTGCCGGAGTCCTGACGGTGAGCTGCTTTGGTCTGCCATCTTCCCCCTCGTGAATGTCGAGCCCGGGAGGGCTGGACAGGTAGAGAGACACGTGCATGGGCTTTTGAGACTCTGCTGGAATGCTTAACCCATTGATCCTCTTGTTAAAATGTGCAGCTATTTCTAAACCAGGATTTAGAGATAGCTAAGATATGTAGACTTCAACTCCCAGCATGCTGCCTCGGGAGTTCTGGGAGTTGAAATTCACACTGTTATACTGGATCAGTATTCCCATTTGGGTTGTTTGGAAGGGAAATAAGAAATAAGAAACCATTTTAATTGGTTTCTGGGAAGATCAAAAATCCAAAGTGTGTATGTTCCTGGAAGTAGTACCGGTAGTCGATCTACAACAGTTCATTTAGTGACTGTTCCAAGTTATGACGGCACTGAAAAAAGTGACTTCTGATCATTTTTCACACTTACGACCTTGCAGCATCCCCCTGGTCACATGAACAAAATTCAGACGCTTGGCAACTGACTCGTCTTTATGACGGTTGCAGTGTCCCAGGGTCATGCAATCCCCTTTTGTCAATGGGGAAGGCGGTTTCACTTAAAAACCGTGCTATTAACTAAACAGCTGCAGGGATTCACTTAGCAGCCGAGGCAAAAAAAGGTTGTAAAACGAGGCGAAACTCACTGAACAAATGTCTCACTTAACAACACAAATTTTGGGCTCAGTTGCGATCGCAAGTCGAGGACCACCTGCGTACATCGGGGAATGGAGAGAAGAGAAGACACAGGAATCTTACCAGTCAACCAGCTGGGCTCCAATGATATCGTGAATATGGTAGGGAAGGCCCAGTTTCACAGCACTTGGTGCTTGACGGCTCTGCAAATCGGACAGTAGCACTTCCTTGTATTTGGATTTCTGGATCATACCCAGGACAGCTTTCCTTCCTGGGAAGAAAAGAAAGGTCAGCGAGCAGCTCCGTTCAGGAACATTCCAGTGTTAAGGTTGGAGTTTAGGACTGGACATTCTGCACTGAGCAAGGTAGTGGAGAACAGGGTTGAGGGTTTTTTTGTAGCAGAGTTGATTCCGTTTGCAAAAACTGTCCCCAAAATGAAAGAGCTAGGTCCCACTCGTCATCTTCAGGCTGGGGTCTTCGGCTTCGTGCTTGTGCGAGCAAAGTGTGATCGGAGCTGCCGTCTCTCTATAAATATTGGTGGGGGGGTGTGTGGAGTGCTGGCTTAGTTGCTGTAGGTGGATTGGTTGGCTGTGTGAATTGGTTGGCTGTTATTGGATTGTTCAGCTGTTTCGTAACATCCTGAGTAGTTGAGGTGCTGGCTGTGTGCCCATTAGTCTTTTGTGTTATAACGACCTGGATAATGGGTTGTGTGTGATTACATCCTGAGATCTAGTGTAGCGATATCCAGGATGTTGCAACACAAAACTCAGGATATCACTACACTAGATCTCAGGATGTAATCACACAACCCATTACCCAGGTCATTATAACACAAAAGACTAATGGGCACACAGCCAGCACCTCAACTACTCAGGATATTATGAAACAGCCGAACAATCCACAAACAATAACAGCCAACCAATCCACACAGCCAACCAATCCACCTACAGCAACTAAGCCAGCACTCCACACACACCCCCACCAATATTTATAGAGAGGCGGCAGCTCCGATCACACTTTGCTCGCACAAGCACGAAGCCGAAGACCCCAGCCTGAAGATGACGAGTGGGACCTCATCGAAATGTCACCAAGATACTCTCAATCTTACACGGGAAAAGACCCGAATACGCCAAGACCTGCATACCTGTACCCGTGAAAATCTACGAATATTAAAATATAATTATAATTATATATATAATTATATATATAATTATATATATTCAGATTTCTTTTTGCTGACAAAGAGTTAAAGAATTAAGTGGGAGACTAGAATAGCTATTTCGAGCTCATTATGCTCTCATCAGCTAGCCACACCCTTTATGGGATTCGAACCTAGGCAGCCTACGTGCTAGGCAGTTGTATTAACCACCAGGCCACCGGCTCTGCTCCCCTCTTTGTCAGCCGAGTCAAGGGAGTATATACAGAAAGTTTTTCAGACAGACCGGTCTGATTGATTGCACCTTGGCATTTTTGACTGCTATACTGCAGTTCTACTTTTTTATAATCACTTTTGCCTTGCAGCCACTTAATTCTTTAACTCTTTGTCAGCAAAAAGAAATCTGAATTTGTAATGTATCGCAGTAGCGACTTGAGCCTGCTTAACGGCCCTAGTTGGGGGGCTGCAAGGCAAACGTGATTATAAAAAAGTAGAACTGCAGTATAGCAGTCAAAAATGCCAAGGTGCAATCAATCAGACTGGTCTGTCTGAAAAACTTTCTGTATGTATGTATGTATGTATGTATGTATGTATGTATGTATATAATTGCTTGGGATTGGGGATGCAAATTCAGGATAGCAATAGCACACAGACTTATATACCGCCTCACAGTGCTTTACAGCCCTCTCTAAGCAGTTTACAGCAGGGGTCTTCAAACCTGGCCCTTTGATGACTTGTGGACTTCAACTTCCAGAATTCCTCCGCCAGGCATGCCTGGCGGAGGAATTCTGGGAGTTGAAGTCCACAAGTCATCAAAGGGCCAAGTTTGAAGACCCCTGGTTTACAGAGTCAACATATTGCAACCCCGACAATCTGGGTCCCAAATTAAGAATTCGCTTAATCTAGTAAAATCGTGCAGCTTTCAAGAGACACAGGCTCGGAGTGATAATGTGATTGGTTTATTTGCGTCTTAGCATCACATATATGAGTCTACCCAACACACTACAACTATAGCTTAGCACAATCTGTGAAACGAACGCACCTTTGATGAAGCATTTGATGAAGCGGCCTGCTCCAGGCACGGCCAGCCACCAGCTCCCGGCATCGCGAACAGTCAAGACCCCAGCATTCACCAGCTGCCTGAAGAAAAGGCAGAAACGGAAAAAATAGGAAAGGCCCATTGGGATTTACTCCATTCCATACGGCTGATTTGTGGACTAAAGCTTTCTGCTTTCCCAGACAAGCAAAGTCAAGGGGGGAGGGGGGAGGCCAGGTTCACTTAACAACCGGGTTACTAACTTAACAATGCAGCCATTCACTTAACAACTGTAGCAAGAAAGGTTGTAAAATGGGGCAAAACTCAATGACTTAATAACTATCTTCCTTAGTAATAGAAATTCTGGGCTCAGTTGTGGCCACTAAATCAACTCCCTGTACAGAAGATTACGATCCTTGTTTGAGTTGTCAACGGGCATCCCAAGGTATCTAGTTAGCCACTGTGGGAAACAGGACGCTGAATGAGACAAGATTATGACCTGATCCCGTGAGATTTACGTTCTTCCAGACGGTGCCTGTTGTACCATGCACATGCATTCTCAGAAAGCAGAGAGGCTTATCTGTCTTTAAATCACCAGCAAAACCCACCTAGAGCAGGGCTTTTCAACCAGTGGTACGGGTACCACCTGTGGTACATTGGCACCTGGCAGGTGGTACGCGACCGTCCCAGAAAAGTGGTAGCGGGGGAGGGGAATGAGCTGAACCGGTGGCAGCACTGCACAAGCCTTTAGCGAGAGGTGGCTGGAGCTGCAGGGCTGTCAGGGCTCAGTGGAAGCGCCAGGATCAGCACTTCTTCAGGACTGTCAGGGCTCAGCGGAAGCGCCAGGGTCAGTGCCAGGCTCCAGCTGGAGCTCGGCGCTGATCCTGGTGCTTCTGCTGAGCCCAGAAGAAGTGCCGATCAGCTGGAATGTTGCAGCATCTCCAGGGTCTTGTGATTTACATTCAGATGCTTGGCAACTGATTCATATTTATGATGGTCACAGTGCCCCAGGGTCATGTGAAGTGACCAAAACCTGCTGCAGCCACCCAGCAGACGGGGGGGAATAAAAACCAAACACCCCCCCACCCCACCCCCGCTGCCAATCCTCAACAGAAATGCTCACAACAATGAAAACCTTGGACAGGAGGAAGAGCGCCACCGGGTGGGCAGGCAGATGTCTTGCTCGGCTGTGGCTTGGGGGGGGGCACTTTTTTCAGTGCCATTGTAACTTCAAACAGTCACTAAGCGAACTGTTGTAAGTCGAGGGCTACCTGTAGTTCATCACTTTTTTCCTTTTTTTTTTTTTTTGGTCATCAGGTTTTTGACCCCTTGCTAGGCGACTGGTGGTACTCGGATGTTGCCATATCCTAAAAGTGGTACAGTGGGTGAAAAGGTTGAAAAGCCCTGACCTAGGGCAGTGTTTCGTAACCTTGGGAACTTTTAAGATGTGTGGACTTCAACTCCCAAAACTCCCCACCCAACAAACACACAATGAGAGAGCTTAATTTGGAGAGAAAGCTGGCAAACAGTGAAAGGAGGGGGGAAAAATAATTATGGACCAGCAAGCAAATTGGCAGCCCCGGGGACTCCTTGTCCGCTTACGTGATTTCCGTGTCACTGAAGCCAAAATCTCTCAACATCCTTTTCTTGTCAAAACTGATGTCAGGGCAGGCGGTAAGGACCGAATCTAGAAACTTCTTCACTGTCCTGGCAAACTCCTTCCCCGTTATAAACTCTTGCACCTGAGGCAACAAAAATAAATAAATAAATAAGAGAGTCATCGCCAGCCTGCTGGCCCTTCTGTTCGTTTGCTCCGTCCACACACCTCTCTGGCAGAAGCAAACCTTAGATATGTAGCTGTCCATAAAGGCCACCACAAAAAAATCCGCTTCAAAGCTGTGCTGAAACATTCGGATCCGGCCTTCATTTTTCAGCTGGCTCTATAGAGAGAAAAGAGTTTCATTTCCAGAAGCAGGTACGGGCATGTACATTTTGAGGAAGAGGCAAAATGGAACATAAAACGTGTTTTTAGAAGAACCCCCCTGCATCGGCTAGCATGGCAGGGAGAAATAGCAATGATCTATAGCAGTGGTTCTCAACCTTTTTAATGCCGCGACCCCCAACCGATCGTAAGTCGAGGACTAAACCGGTCGTAAGTCGAGGACTAAACCGGTCGTAAGTCGAGGACTACCCAACCGGTCGTAAGTCGAGGACTTTCCCTGCCCGGGAGCGCTGCGCATGTGTGGTTCCGCCCCCTGCGCCGGCCGAGGCGTAGCTGGCAAGCGGCAGAGACGGACCAGGCCGACCACCAGCTGGCCCAGCCCAAGGGAGGTAAGGCACCCGCCGGAAAAGGGGAAAAAAAATGGCGGACAGCCTTGCTTGGCGACCCCGGTGAAATGGTCGATCGACCCCAAATGGGGTCGCGACCCATAGGCTGAGAACCGCTGATCTATAGTCATCAGAAACTAAATCAAACTAAACCTGTCTTCTAGGTGAGTTCATACAACAAACATGCTGAAGTTCTTCCTTTTTTTTAAAAGATTCCCAATACACTGAACAAAATGGCCTGGCTTGCATGACAGAGTTAGATATAAATATAAAAAAAGGAAAGTTAAAATTAAGTAAACCTAGAATATGCTGCAGTTGTGGTTCCTGGTTTTTTTTTAACTGAACTGGTTTAGTGTAAAATCCACTATTGTGATAAAAAATAGTTTGGGTATCTTTCCTTTTTCTGGAAGAAAGAGGCCCCTTCTTGAAGACAAGTATCTTCAAAGCTTTTATTTCACTGGGATACTGAAAGTGAGTGAGGGAAAGGGCAATCGTCAATTAAAGTTAGTTTTCCTTCACTATATTAGAAAGCTAAGAACTGTTTATCTGGGAGTCCCACTTCTCTCCCTTCTAGGCTGAATTGGCAGGTGGAGGAGGAAGTGGACCTGAATCTAATGAAGGGCAGCATCAGAATACTTGTCTTGTGGGGTGATACATGCAGCAAAGAAGTAGGGTGTCCCCCCCCCCCTCCACACCACATCACCAAGCCTGCTTGCTGAGTTGTCCTGGGGTTGAGAGGCATCTGAGTCATAGCCCCATCTTCTTTTCCAGATATCTAACCCTCAGAAACTTGTAATGATTTCTGGAATTTTTTTGTGGGGAAAAAAAGTCTCTGCTATTTGGGACAGTCTGGATACCAATAATAATAGTAATGAAGTTGGAAGGGAAATTGGAGGTCATCTAGTCCAACCCCTTGCTCAGGCAGGAAACCTTATACCATTTCGGACAAATGGCTGTCCAGTCTCTTCTTAAAAACTTCCAGTGTTGGAGCATTCACCGCTTCTGGAGGCAGGTTGTTCCACTGGTTAATTGTTCTAACTGTCAGGAAGTTTCTCCATAGTTCTAGGTTGCTTCTCTCCTTAATTAGTTTCCATCCGTTGCTTCTTGTCCTGCCTTCAGGGGCTTTGGAGAATAGCTTGACTCCCTCTTCTTTGTGGCAGCCCCTAAGATGTTGGAACACGGCTATCATGTCCCCCCTCGTCCTTCTCTTCGTTAAACTAGACATTCCCAATTCCAGCAACCGTTCCTTGTATGTTTTAGCCTCCAGTCCCTTAATCATCTTTGTTGCTCTTCTCTGTACTCTTTCTAGAGTCTCAGCATCTTTTTTTACATCGTGGTGACCAAATTTTGAACTTGAGTTAACTATGGAGGTGTTTAGAAACTTTTCTTGATCAGAGTGGATTAGATTCAATCCATGATACCCAAGGACCTGAACTGGTTGCTTGTCCACTGAATGCAAGTCCAACTTGGTTTGGGGTTTCTGGTGAGGAGACAAATAGAGATGCCTTAGCTAACACCTTGGGAGAAGATGCTAAGGAGGATGCTTCCTTGTTTATAAAGGTAAAGATCTAATCATTTCCAATTCTAGGGTTAGTTTCTTAGTGGAGGGAACCAGATTGTCTGAAGACACTTCCATGGGCATGTGGCCAGCATGGCTACACGCCAAAGGAACACAGTTATCTTCCCACTGAAGTGGTACCTATTTATCTACTCACATTTGCATACTTTCAAACTCGATCCGTCCTTCTTCGACTCCGTTCATTACCCTCGAGTGGGGCAGTACGTCACGAGCCCAGAATTTGGGTCCGACAATCGAAAGGTCGAACTATTCGGGTCCCAGAAATTGGTGACTCGGTGACGGGGGAGAAAGGAACAAATATATTCCCTTAATAATCTGGAGAAGAATTCTTCGGACAGAATCTAAGGGGGTGGGCCCCAAGGTGCAGTTACAATCCAATCTCTAATCTATCACGGTTGTGTAAGGTGGTAAGAGACAACAGGCAGTCTTGAAGGAAGCAGATCATCTGGATACAATTAATAATAATAATAATAATGATAAAGTTGGAAGGGACCTTGGAGGTCATCTAGTCCAACCCCCTGCTCAGGCAGGAAACCCTATACCATTTCGGACAAATGGCTATCCAGTCACTTTTTAAAAACTTCCAGTGTTGGTGCATTCACCACTTCTGGAATCAGGTTGTTCCACTGGTTAATTGTTCTCACTGTCAGGAAGTTTCTCCTTAGTTCTAGGTTGCTTCTCTCCTTGATTGGTTTCCACCCGTTGCTTCTTGTCCTGCCTTCAGGCGCTTTGGAAAATAGCTTGACTCCCTCTTCTTTGTGGCAGCCCCTAAGATATTGGAACACTGCTATCATGTCCCCCCTCGTCCTTCTCTTCGTTAAACTAGACATACCCAAGTCCAGCAACCGTTCCTTATATGTTTTAGCCTCCAGTCCCCTAATCATCTTTGTTGCTCTTCTCTGTACTCTTTCTGGAGTCTCAACATCTTTTTTACATCGTGGTGACCAAAACAGGATGCAGTATTCCAAGTGTGGCCTTACCAAGGTGTGATAAAGTGGTATTCACACTTCATGTGATCTTAATTCTATCCCTCTGTTAATGCAGCCTAGCACTTTTGCTTTTTTTGGCAGCTGCAGCACACTGCCTGCTCACATTTAAGTGATTGTCCACTAGGATTCGGAGATCCCTCTCACAGTTACTAGTAACAGTTATGTAGTAACACGGTAGTTAAGTGAAATCTGGCTTCCCCATTGACTTTGCTTATTAAAAGAGCGCAAACCTTTTGATCCCGGGACACTCCAACGGCCCTAAATATGAACCATTTGCCAAACATTGAATTTTGATCATTTGATCATTGGGAGGGGGGGGGGAATGCAACAGTGGCAAGTGCGAAAAATGGTAAGTCACTTTTTTCAGTGCCGTTGCAACTTTGAATGGTCATTAAATGAATGGATGTACGTCGAGGACTGCCTATTAGGGAGGAGCCGTCTTCACCCTCTTTCTCTCACATAAACGATCTGAACTGTGTTGTCTCTTGTTTCTCTGGAATGCATTCCCTCCCTCTTGGGATTCCAGACTACATTCCATCACATATTTCCCCTTATTGAGGTAACTTCTAGAACAGGGATAGGCAACCTTGGCTCTTTTATGACTTGTGGACTTCAACTCCCAGAATTCCTGAGCCAGCCATGCTGAGGGGAAAGGGAGAGGTTTCCAAGCTGAGCCATGCTGGCTCAGGAATTCTGGGAGTTGAAGTCCACGAGTCATAAAAGAGCCAAGGTTGCCTACCCCTGTCGTAGAAGCAGGACCATTGAATAACTTTTTAACTGTTTCTATGACTATGGAGGGTTGAAACTGCTGTCTGCTCTTTGGAAAAAAGCAGCTCCAGCTAGGCCGAAGTGCTTCCCACCCCCACTTCCCTCATGGATTCATAAATTCGGTCGCAACTTTACTCACAAGCATCCAAACCGGTGTTGCAGCTGCCTGTGCTAATTGAGCCACACCTTGGTATTTTGAAGAATATGCTGACATCCAGAGGCAGTTTCGCCCCACCCAGACTTTTAGCTTAGAAAAGCAAATGCTAAGATAGAGTGGGAAGCGGTGTGGAGGAGGAAAAGTGATAAGCAAATGGCATATAAATGAAGAAGCTGAAGTCATGTCTGGAGAGCGTCAGCTATCAGTCTCCTACAGGACAACAAGCTGCAGTAAAGAGCTGTGGTGGCCTAGTGGTTAGGACATAGTATTGCAGGCTGACTGTGCTCACTACCAATAGTTCGACCCTGACCGGCTTAAGATTGACTCAGCCTTCCATCCTTCTGAAGTCGGTAAAATGAGGACCCAGATTGTTGGGATCAATATGCTAACTCTGTAAACTGTTTAGAGAGTGTTGTAAACCACTGTGAAGTGTGTGTAAGTCTAAGTGCTATTGCTATTACTACAGGGCGCAACATACCTTGGCGGGGGTCCTGCCTGGAGCTTGGAGCTTTGCTGGGAGCTCAGCAGCAACTAGAACAGTGGTTCTCAACCTTTTTAATGCCGCGACCCCAACCGGTCGTAAGTCGAGGACTAAACCGGTCGTAAATCGAGGACTAAACCGGTCGTAAGTCGAGGACTAAACCGGTCGTAAGTCGAGGACTACCCAACCGGTCGTAAGTCAAGGACTTTCCCTGCCCGGGAGCGCCGCACATGTGTGGTTCCGCCCCCTGTGCCGGCCGAGGCGTAGCTGGCAAGCGGCAGAGACGGAGCAGGCCGACCACCAGCTGGCCCAGCCCAAGGGAGGTAAGGCACCCGCCGGAAAAGGGGAAAAAAATGGCGGACAGCCTTGTTTGGTGACCCCCATGAAATGGTCGATCGACCCCAAATGGGGTCCCGACCCACAGGTTGAGAACCACTGAACTAGAACAACCACACAGAAACTGCATCTCATCCCAAATAGAGTAAGATCTCTAGAAGGTTGTATGTCACTTTAAGACTAATGGCAATATTTCTTTGCAAAACCTAGAAGCGGGGAGAACAATAGCCTGACATTGGGAAATGTGTGTGGATTGCAATAAAGCATTGCAGAGCACATCGTGAGAAAGGCAGGGCTAGATGAATCAAAAGTTGGAATTAAGATTGCCGGGAGAAATATCAACAACCTAAGATATGCAGATGATATCACTCTTAATGGCAGAAAGTGAAGAGGAACTAAAGAACCTCTTGATGCGGGTGAAGAAGGAGAGTGCAAAAGTTGGCTTGAAACTCAACATTAAGAAAACCAAGATCAGGGCATCCAGCTCTCACAATTCCTGGCAAATAGATGGGGAAGAAATGGAGGTAGTGACAGATTTTATCTTCCTGGGCTCCAAGATCACCGCAGATGGGGACTGCAGCCAAGAAATTAGGAGATGCTTGCTCATGGGGACGAAAGCTATGCAAATCTAGACAGCATACTAAAAAGCTGAGACATCACCCTGCCAACAAAAGTGCGTATAGTCAAGGCCATGGTTTTCCCAGTTGCAACGTATGGCTGTGAAAGTTGGACCATAAGAAAGGCTGAGCGTCAAAGAATTGAGGCCTTTGAACTATGGTGCTGGAGAAGACTCCTGCGAGTCCCCTGGACTGCAAGGTGATCAAACCGGTCAGTCCTAGAGAAGATCAACCCTGACTGCTCTTTAGAAGGCCAGATCCTGAAGTTGAAACTCAAGTACTTTGGCCACCTAATGAGAAGGAAGGACTCACTGGAGAAGAGCCTAATGCTGGGAAAGATTGAGGGCAATAGAAGAAGGGGACGACAGAGAATGAGGTGGCTGGATGGAGTCACTGAAGCAGTAGGCGTGAACTTAAATGGACTCCAGAAGATGGTAGAGGACAGGAAGGCCTGGAGGAACGTTGTCCATGGGGTCGCAATGGGTCGGACACGACTTCGCAACTAACAACAACAACAAGATTTGCTAGCCTGCGATGTGTCCAGTCCTTGGAAAGCAAAGATCCTTCACAATGTCCTGATTTTAAATTCATTTTTGTTGTCAGCTTCTGAGAGATTTGGGTATCTAGCAGAATATCAAGTCAAATAAATGCAGGTAGTCTCGACTTACAACCACAACTGGCACTAGGATTTCTATTGCTAAGCAAAGTGGTCGCTAAGTGAGTCATGCACGAATTTATGACTTTTTTTGCCAGGATGAAGAGAATCAGTACAGTTCTTAAGTGAATCACACGGTCATTAAGTGAATCTATCTTCCTCCATTGACTTTGGTTGTTGTTAAGCCAGCTGGGAAGATCTCAAATAGTGATCTTGTGATCACTGGAACCCTGTCATACACACATGTCAGCTGCCAGGTGCCCACATTTTTATTTTGTGACCATGGGGATGCTGCAGTATTCCGAAGTGTAGGGACTGGTTGTAAGTCACTTCTTTCAATGTCATAGTTAAATTAATAGTCATAAGTTGAGGATGGCCTCCACTCCTTGACAATGGACACCGATTAAAGGTGTCAGAGTGGAAGCACCTCGGGGGGAGGTCAAAAACGTCAAGGCAGAAGTTGAAGCAATGCAATCAAAATCTCATCTCTTTTGTACGTGCGTGTGATAGCTACACCCAGTGGCTGGGGCTTCATTTGGGCTGCTGTGACCACCGTCTTGGCTGTGTTTACATCGCAGCTGATGTTGCTGTATCCCAGCCAGGGAGAAGTAGTACTTACCAGATACCTGTCCACAACTGTACGATCTTTGACAAGACTGTAGATCTGATGCTTCAGAATTAGAGGCGGCAGGGAATCTTCAAATGCCTTCCGAGGGAAGAGGGATACCAAATTCTGAAGAGCCGCTTCGACTGCCTCAGGGCCCTCTAAGAAAAGGAACCGCAGATAAGAACGGAGAAGTCCCACTGCTCAGCCCAGTGGTGGCGAACCCACGGCACGTCTGCCAGAGGCGGCATGCAGAGCCCTCTCTGTGGGCACGCGTGTCGTCGCCCCAGCCCTGCCTCCCCCCGCGGCCCCCTCACCGGCAGCCTCCCTGGAGAGTCGCCCTGGGCGCAGCCCACGCAGCGCAGCGCAGCCAAAGACATGGCAGCCGGGACAAGATTCTGCCCTCGCGCCCCGTCGCGCACAGATGATGCTGCGGGGCACAGGTGGAGGGAGTGGCTGTCATGGCGCTGCAGGGCCGCTTGAGTGATCTGCTGCGGTGGGCCACGGAAGCGGTAGGTGGCCCTGCGGGCAGGCAGGGAGCAGGTGGTGGAGCGGGGGTGGGCGGGGGGGGTTGGGTACTCGGTGTCTAAAAGGTTCGCTATCACTGGCTTAGCCCAAAGATGCTTTTTCACGAGGCAACTGGACTTTCTTGTTTTTCTTTGAAGACATTTTGCTTCTCATCCAAGAAGCTTCTTCAGCTCTGACTGGGTGGTGGGGAAGGGAAAGATTTATACTCCTGCAGACAGGCTGTTCTTTTGCATTCTTTTAGCGAGTCATTAAAGCTACCTGGAGGCTTATCTGTGTCTCCAGGATCACCTGAGTAGTGCAAATGGGTGTGGAGCCTTCCTGGAACTGTTGAAATCCCGTCAGAGCTGAAGAAGCTTCTTGGATGAGAAGCGAAACGACTTTCAAAGAAAAACAAGAAAGTCCAGTTGCTTCGTGAAAAAAAGCATCTTTGGGATAACTATGACCTGGATGACTGAGAATCCCTATAGACATCCCACTGCTTAGCATTTCCATAAAGACTCCCTCTGACTCCATTTAGAAACTCCATCCTTTTTCATTAACCTGCCCCATCGGGTATTTTGTGCAAAGCATTTCACTCTTTCTCACCCTGTCCTGAAGACTCGGATCCGAGAGCCGGCCGTCGCTTCTTGGCCTTGAAAGTATCAGAGAGGAGCTGGTGCTTCCGCTTCATAGGGCTGGAGAGAAAGGACGAAGAATGCTTAAGGTCGAGTACGTATATAACCGCTCTATTGACTTTTGCTCATTTAGCTGTACAGGTAGTCCTAGATCGGGTAGGCAACTTTGGTTCTTTTATGACTCGTGGACTTCAACTCCCAGAATTCCTGAGCCAGCATGGCTCAGCTTGGAAACCTCTCCCTTTCCCCTCAGCATGGCTGGCTCAGGAATTCTGGGAGTTGAAGTCCACGAGTCATAAAAGAGCCAAGGTTGCCTACCCCTGTCCTAGACTTACAACAGTTTGTTTAGTGACTGTCCAAAGTTACAACGGCACTGAAAAAAGGGACTCGTGACCATTTTCATATTTATGACTGTTGCAGCATCCCCATGGTCACGGGTTCAAAATCCAGATGCTTGGCAACTGTCTCATACGTATGAAGGTTGCAGTGCCCGGGATCACGTGATCACTTTTTGCAACCTTCTGACAAGCAAAATCAATGGGGAAGCCAGATTCACTTAACAACCAAGTTATTACCTTAACTGCAGTGATTCACTTAACAACTGTGGCAAGGTCATAAAATGGGGCAAAGCTCACTTTACCACTGTCTCACTTAGCAGCAGAAATTTTGAGCTCAATAGTGGTCGTAACTCGAGGACTACCTCTAATGTTCCCCAAATATTTTCTTTCTTATTCCCCATTCATTCTATATCAGTGTTTCTCAACCTTGACAATTTTAAGGCATGTGGACTTCAACTCCCAGAATTCCACAGCCAGCATTGCTGGGAGTTGAAGTCCACATGCATTAAAATTGTCAAGGTTGAGAAACACTGTTCTATATCATCTCCCCTTTTCAAATTTTTCCTTTTGTTTAACTTGTTGCTTTTCTTCCATGAAAACAGCTTCTGTGTGTGGTTTCTCACTTACTGTATTCCCTCTGATAATACCATCAAAATGGTTCCTTGATTCTCATTCCAGCAACCACTCTGCCATATTTTTTGTATTTAAAATAATCTCTGGTAAATCTTTGGTGTTACAAAGCCTCATGATTTCCCCATTTGTTTGGCATATTTTTAAAACTGCTGGATTTTATATAATGTCAGATCGCCATGCAGCAATTAAGCAAAGTACTTCTTCCCTTAACTTCACTATCACATCAGGAACAATGTAAGTTCCTTCATTTCCATTTATCTATTGCAACACATGCAGATATAAGAAAGCTAATACACTGAATTATACTACCGCCCATTTTTTTCACATTTATTTGACAGCACTGTATAATACACTTTATTTTTGCTTCATCTTTTTGCTTTATATTAAACTGTATATTGCCTCCCCCCATTCCATTTTTTGTAAAGCAAAGCCTCAAGAGCAAGAAATGTAGCAGAATGCAAGTAATGTATGGATCAGTCCACATACAAAAGATTTGAGTTTAATAAGATGTACATTTTAATCTGGGTAGGAAATCCTTATAAAATCCAATAAAGGGAACAAAGTTTTTTTTAAATTAGCTATATACTTTTTTATAGCTATATTAAAGCTATATATGCTTTAATAAGGGATCATCAGCTTTTTTCTGCATAGGGCCCCGAACCATGGAGACATGTTTCTATGTGCTGCAAATTCTTAGGCTGCAGTCATGAGCCAAATGGATACAATATTTCTTTGGGATCAAATATTTTGGGTGGCAGGCCAAATGTCATCTGCAGGTTGCTAACCCCTGCTTTAAAGTATCACAGCCGCACTTCTACTAATTCAGCAGCCTGTTTACATATAAAGCAAAGCAAACTCTAAACTTAGAACAAAAGCGATATTCTGATGAAGGGAATGGAATTTTCCTCCACACCTTCCTTTTTAAATGTATAGAAACAAGCAAATGTATACAGGTAGTCCTCGACTTACGACCACAATTGAGTCCAAAATTTCTGTTGCTAAGTGAAACATTTTAAAGTGAATTTTGCCCCATTTTATGACCTTTCTAGCCACAGTTATTAAGTGAAACAGTGCAGTTATTAAGTTAGTAACATGGTTGTTAAATGAATCTGGCTCCCCCATTGATTTTGCTTGTCAAAAGGTCGCCAAAGGTGATCACATGACCTCAGGACACTGCAACCGTCATACATATGAACTAGATGCCAGACATCTGAATTTTGATCATGTGACCGTGGGGATGCTGCAATGGTTGTAAATGTGAAAAACAGTCATAAGCCACTTTTTCAGTGCCGTTGTAACTTTGGTCACTAAATAAACTGCGGTTAAGTCAACAACTACCTGTAGAAGGAAATCAGGGAAGGGAAGATTTGCCCTTCTCTCCTCTAAGATGTTACCCCACCTCTTTTGAAACAATGCAGCAAAACATCACACCATGACTTATTCAAACTGATGATACCAACTCCTCACGAGTGTCAATACATTTTACTTCTTCCGTCTAAAAGAGAGTTAAAGGAGGTTATAGATATGTTATTTTAATAGTTGATTAATGTTAGTTAGAGTATGATTATGTTATTGTTAACCCTGGGATTGGCTCTGGGAAGTGAGGGGGGAGGGAGGGGGGAGTGGAAGGGTGGGCTTGGGGAAGGGGGGGATTTATATTGTAAAATTTTATAAAATTTTCAATTAAAAAAAAATACATTTTACTTCTTTCAGACTCTTCCCCAGCTCCTTCATTTGACTCAGCCCCAAAACGTTTCTCCAGCAAAAGCTTTTACGGGCAAGACAACCAGGAATCCTCTCTCTTTTTCTTCCTGGCTGCTACCTGCATTTATCCACCTTTCACCTCCGAGCTCCTTTCCGTCCTCTATTGACCCATTTTTCTTCCCTGAATAATAACTTTCAGATACCCAGAGACTTCCCCCCCCCACTTCCCCCCCCCGCCATTGATTTCACTTCGAATTGAGACTTCATTCCTACCCCTCTCAGTCCTCACTCGCGTCGTCTCGCTTGCTGGTCGTCGGCAAAGGATGACGTCACGTCGTTGGAAGATTTCCCTCTGGGGGCCGCCCTTCGTCTTTAGAGTAGGCGGGAGAAAGATAGCTTGACTGGCAGTAGGGAAGGCCAATGGCTTCCTCGTCCGGCTAAGTGGCCCTCTTTAATGGAAGAGAGGTGGCCTTGCCCGTTATCTAGAGTCCAGTGTTTCTTGAACGTTTGATTCTCAGAGCCCGAATTTATAATTTTTAAAAATGATGGAGGACCCCCCCAAAGACTTTATGATTATATGGGTTATGTTTATTGATATTTGCCGTATTAAAACCTGTATTTATTGAATCATGCAAAATAAAAGTTATTAAACCTATTTGATATTAATATACATATTTTTCATGAAAACTCCCCTATGATTTTCAACAAATAGAAATAACGGGTGACACTGCTTTAAATTTTTGCAAATGTCTTCAATATCTAGCACAGGGGTAGTCAACCTTGGCTCTTTTATGACTCGTGGACTTCAATTCCCAGAATTCCTGAGCCAGCTTAGCTGGCTCAGGAATTCTGGGAGTTGACGTCCACGAGTCATAAAAGAGCCAAGGTTGACTACCCCTGATCTAGCAAATATTTTTAATTTTGCAAACCCCTGAGAGACTCCTAAGGTCCTTGGAACAGACTTAAGAGACACCAATTTAGATCAGGGTTTTTCAACCTCGGCAACTTTAAGATACTGGTTGAGGAATTCTGGGAGTTGAAGTCCATCCATCTTAAAGTTGTCAAGGTTGAAAAAAAATAATTTTAGACTATGGGAAAGACAGACTCTGCTCTGGAAAGATATGGATGGCCCCAAGATGGGGGCCAAGTATGCTCCCTTGTGGAAGTCACATAGATTTCTGAAGTCCAAATCTGGTATATCATGTAATAATTCCCTGGTGATTAGGGTTGTTTTCTTCACGACCAGAGTTGTTTTATGCAAGTTTGGATGATAGTAACATCTCACTGACTTTGGAACAAGTCTTAAACAGAAAATTTGCACCATGTGCACATTGACCTTTTGCTTTGGTAAAAATCATTTTCTAGCTGATTTATGTTTCTGAATTGTTAGATTACACCTTCTTTCTATGTCCTTGGTCTTGAAATGTCTAGCCAGTGAAGAAGCGGTTTTGTGTCCCCTGATACTTCAACTTTTGCTTTCCACCCTAGAGAGATCTCAGTGCTAAGCAACGCTGCTTAAATGGGTTTCCAGTGGCAGCAGCCTAATGCTGCCTAGTATCAGCAGATGACTTCTTCTGAGCAGCCTGACCAACCATCTTGCAGGCTGGAGGTGACAACATCTGAAATGGGAGAAAGTTGTTTTTTTTCTATTCCACAAGTGCCTGACTTTGAAAAACACAGACAGCCACCGCTTTCTTCTGTTTTGATGCATCTCTGTTTTTGACCAAAACATTCATGTGAAGTCTAGGTTTATTGTGTATAAAAAAAAACCTAGCTAGTTCAGATCGACTCCTTTCAGCTAGTCTTCAATTTATGATATTTTGTTTAGCGACCGTTCGAAGTTACACTTACGACCGTTGCAGCAGCATCATAGACACATGATCAAAATTCAGATGCTTGACAACTGGCTCATATTTATCACAGCTGCAGTGTCTTGTGGTCATGTGATCACCTTTAGCAACCTTCTGACAAGCAAAATCAATGGGGAAGCCAGATTCAGTTTACAACCATGTTACTAACAATTACAGTGATTCATTTAACAACTGTGGCAAGAAATATGAATGGGGCAAAACTCAAGTTAATAATTGTCTCACTTCGCAACAGAAATTTGAGGTTCAATTGTGACCATAACTCGAGGACTACCTGTATTCATTGCTATAATGAGAACTTGTTAAATAAATACAAGGGAAACTCATTCTGGTCCTCCCTAACAGTGTAATTCTACTCAAAGTCCAGTTTTATGTACTTCAATATGGCCTACATTCAGGAACCCGGGGAATACTGGATCCCAAGCTAAATGTAATGAACGGTTTTAGAAGGGAACTTTAGAAGGGAATACACAGACAACTTTGGTTCATTCCTTTAAAATATTCTTAAATACAGGCTTAGAGAAAAATATGTATATCATGTTTAGAATATACAGAACTTCAATTCTAATGAATCAGGCATCAGTCTAGAAACCAAGAAACTAAGTTCTGGTCCTGCTTTCGGCATAAAAGCTGGCTGGATAACTTTGGGTAGGGTTGCCAGGTGTCCACTATTTGAGCGGACAGTCCGCTTTTTTCACATTATGTTCACTATTTTTTTCCACAAAATAGTCATTTTTTTTATTCAAAAGCTTTATGATGAAATGGTACGTAATCTAAAGCTGTACAGTTTACTTTTTTTACTACTTAACCCCCCCCCCCCCGCTTGTCCACTATTTTTTGGAAGCAGACCTGGCAACCCTAACTTTGGGCCAGTCACTCTCTCTCAGCCTAACCCACCTCACACTGTTGCTGTGGTGGGGAAAATAGGAGGAAGAAGCATTAGGTATGTTTGACACCCTGAGTTATTTATAACAACAATAAAAGAGAAATAAAGAAGAAATCTCCTAACAGTGAGAGCAATCAACCATTGGAACAGGTTGCCTTCAGATGTTGTGGGTGCTCCACAATACCTTCCCCGTGTCCTCCAAAGGTCTCACACTACAATTCCCATTAGACTGGGACTGCAAAAGCCACCAAATTAGGAAGGTATAACTCAGTGTTTCTCAACCTTGCTGTGGAATTCTGGGAGTTGAAGTCCACATGCCTTAAAATTGTCAAAGTTGAGAAACACTAACTAGTGTTTTTCAACCTTGGCCTTTAAGAGGTGTAAACTACAACTCTCAGAATTCAACTCCCCACGACTGGGAAATTCTGGGTGTTCCACACATCTTAAACGGGATCGAGGTTTAAAAAAAAACACCGCTTAACATAAAGCCGCCTAAAGAAGGCTTCGACTACCAACTAGTGGCCATGAATTTAAATTACACGACCCTGAAGGAAAACGGGGAAAAAGGAAACGCAGGGCTTCCTCTGCTAACTGGCGTGCTTTGATGATGCAACTTAGAGCAGAGAAACGAAACTGGGCTTTGTTTTGATCAGAAAACCAGCCGCTCCGTCTCGGCTTGGAGAGTGGTTTAACGTTAGGCGTGCGGACCCCTTCGAGGCTGCAGGTATTCCCGGCGCTCGGCAGTGACGTCACGGCAGGTAAGCATGGCATTCGGAAGAGGGAACAGGGAAGGCTCCTTAGGAACTTCTCTGTCTCTGATGATCGTTATAGGAATCCAAGGCCAGGTCAGAGGGCAAAGGGCAGAGGTCAGCTCCTAAGCTGTCCCGGGGGGATTCGGAGCCAGGACCTTGGGGTTCTTTGTTTGGGGCTAAAGTGAGATTTAGGGTTGCCAGGTCTGCTTCCAAAAAATAGCGGACAAGCGGGGGGGGGTTAAGTAAAAAAAAAAAGTAGTACAGCTTTAGATTACGTACCATTTCATCATAAAGCTTTTGAATAAAAAAAATGTCCACTATTTTGTGAAAAAAATAGTGAACATAATGTGAAAAAAGTGGACTGTCCACTCAAATAGTGGACACCTGGCAACCCTAGTGAGATTGGATCTCAGCAAATGTATTGGGGGAGTAATATTATGAGATTTGATGTTAGCAATTCTGTTTTATGTTTTATAATTGTTGCTGTGAGGCACCTAGGGTTATTTGGGGATAGGATGGGCAATGGATGGATTGATGGAGGGATGGATGGAAGGAAGGAAGGAAGGAAGGAAGGAAGGAAGGAAGGAAGAGTTTCACTGAGAAAGTGACTGTTGAGAGGGAAAGAATTCAATTATTGTGTTTATTGCTGATTAAAAGGGTTTGTTCCTCATTTAATACTGAAGATATTTGAAGAAAGACTGAGCCTGAAAGGAAAAGGAGAGGCTGGACAGAGACTGTTATTTGATTTGTACCCTGCTATGTTTATTTCTGCATTGATTCGATTTATATGGCCACCGATCTCACATACAGGACTCGTGTGTGTGTGTGTGTGTGTGTGTGTGTGTGTGTTACAGAATTAAAATACAAAAAAATATCTAAAATTACCAAAATCATAACAACGACAACAAAACTATTCAAACAATAAAAACTGTTACAAAGCCACACAAAAAAAAAACATAATCTGCAAGAAACTTTAAGGATAAGCAACAAGAATCAGCCAAGAATTATGGGCCAGTGACAAAGCGGCTATATTCACATTATGCTCATAAACTGGTTATGGATTAATCTATACTCTGGCTTGTTCAATATACCAAACAAGAAGGTAACTAAATGATCTGTTTTAATCTAATATACTAAGCCACAAAAATCTAACCAAGTGAATGCTAACCAAGCTCAGGAAGTTGTGTCAGTGTATATAATGGGTCTTTTATCTAACTTGTTTAAGTGTCATGTGAATACAGCCAGGGGACTGTTAATCCCCAAAATACTAAATAAGGCTGAGAAGAGCCTCTGTTAAAAACCCCAAGGAACTATTTGGTCATTAGGAACTGTGCTGCTTAGGTTGACTAAAGAGTCTAACTCATATCTTAGATACCACATGGAAGTTACTGTAAAAGGACAGCTATCCTAGTACAAAACTTGGCTGACCAAATGATCCTCACTTTCTAATTAAAGACTGGCCCTTGAAAACACCCCAATCTTAGACTCATGTTAATAACTAATAAAGTAGCTGAAAATGAATTTGATCCTGGGGATTTGGATGTCCAGATGATAATTCTTTGTCTTGTCTCTTTGCCTATAATGTAAGGCCAACAATACTGGTCAACCTTATAGAATTGTCAGAAGGCTGACACAGAGAAAATGCATGAAGCACAAAGCAAAACAATTAACTTTGTAAATTAGATACTAAAGGTTCTTGTATTATTATCAATAACACAGATAGTCCTCAACTTACGACCACAATTGAGCCCAACGTTTCTGAGATATTTGTTAAGTGAGTTTTGCCCCATTTTATGACCTTTTTTGCCATGGTTTTTAAGTGAACCACTGCAGTTGTTAAGTGAGTAACACGGTTGCTAAATGAGTCTGGCTTCCCCATTGACTTTACTTGTCAAGACCGTCACAAAAGGGGACCCCAGGACCCAGGGACACTGCAACCATCTTAAATATGAATCAGTTGCCAAGTGCCCGAATTTTGATCACATGACCATGGGGATGCCGCAACGGTGAAAGCGGTCATAAGTCACTTTTTTCAGTGCCGTTGTAATTTTGAACTGTTATAAGTTGAGGACTACTTGTAATGTCAAATATTGGGTTGGACTGAGTCTTAAAAGTTCCTTTTTGACCTTGGCCTCAAACCCAGAGGAGCACTGGGGACAGTTTCTCAGCTGTATATTCTGAAGGCAGAAGTTTCATGCTCAAATTCTTTTTGTTATTAGACACAAACACTTATGAAGCCCACAGCCAGTTCCAGGTCTTTCAGCCAAGAGGATGATGCGGATGAATGCAAAGTCAAGCAACCAAGGAGGGATTTCAAGGCACCCCTTACTTTGCCGGTTACTCCCCATCTGTACGATGCCCCTTTTCCCTTTTACCGGCGGCCAGCTGAAATGGGACGCTTTTCCCTAGACGCCAAGCGGGGCTTCCATGGAGATGCTCGTCAGCTGCGCTACTATGCCCCGCCCCTTTCCGAAGGCCCCTCCCCTGGATTTGACTTGCGGGATGGCTACCGCGACCGCTATGTGCAGCGGGATGACAGCATCCGTGAAGGCCTGGAGAACCTGCTGAAATGGATTGTGCAGAACCGGAAGCAGTTACAGACTGAGGACAAAGGGTGAGAAAGAGTTAGAGCAGGGGTCCCCAACTTGTGGGCCGTTGCCCGGTAATGGGCCGTGGCCTGCTGGCCACTGGGCCACGGGACAGACTGGCCAATGCACACGTGTGTGTGTGCGCATACCCCCTCACTTGCGCTAGCGCCACGACTGCGGGGCAAAAAAACAGGATGCTGCACCACGGGGCGTAAAAACGGGCTGCCGCTGAGTTTTGCGTGAAAAAGGGACGCCACCGCGCCTCGGGGTGTGAAAACAGGATGCCACCGCCGCGCCGCTGGATTCTAACACAATAGCAACAGCACTTAGACTTATATACCACTTCCCAGTGCTTTACATCCCTCTCTAAGAGGTTTACAGACTTGGCATATTGCCCCCAACAATCGTCCTCATTTTACTGACCTCGGACGAATGGAAGTTTGAGTCAACTTTGAGCCGGTCAGGATCGAACTGCTGGTAGTTGGCAGAATTAGCCTGCAATACTGCATTCTGTGCCACCATGACTCATACCCATGTTTCCCCGAAAATAAGACCGGGTCTTATATTAATTTTTGCTCCAAAAGACGCAATAGGGCTTATTTTCTGGTTAGGGCTTATTTTCGGGGAAGTAAGGTAATAAATGCGTCCGTCTGGCTAACGATCTTAACTGGGGCTTATTTTGGGGGGTAGAGCTTATATTAGGAGCATCCTGAAAAATCATGCTTGGGCTTATTTTCCGGTTAGGTCTTATTTTGGGGGACACAGGGTGTTAGACATCTGGCAATGACATTGCTGATTGTCAAGTGTCTGCTGCCCATCTTTAACTGCCAATTCCTGCGAATGAACCGGAGCTGTTCAGTATGCAAAGACTACACTTATTACTCAGTTTGCTGTAGTGGTTAAGATACCAGGCTAGAAAACCAGGAGACTGTGAGTTCTAGTCTTCCTTTAGGCATGAAGCCAGCTAAATCACCATGGGCCAGTCCTCTCTCTCTCTCTCTCTCTCTGTCCTATGAAGAAGAAGGCAAGGGCAAACTACTTCTGAAATCTTGCCAAGAAAATTGTAGAGACTAGTTTTAAGCAATTCCTAGAGGTGAACACTGACTCAAAGGCATACTCAGAAAGAGTTCCCTTGCTTTGGCTCTACTGGGATTTAGACAGACCTAGTTTCTTATCTTAAAATGGTTGGTTATTCAAATTTTCTCTCCTTCCTTCCTTCCTTCCTTCCTTCCTTCCTTCCTTCCTTCCTTCCTTCCTTCCTCCCTCCCTCCCTCCCTCCCTCCCTCTCTCTCTCTCTCTCTCTCTCTCTCCCCCCCCCTTTCTTTCTCTCCTCCTCTCTTTCTCTTTCTGTCTCCCTCTCCCCCGCAGAAAGCTCCTGAATGCTGACTTTGTGACTTGGCGGGGGCATTTCACCAAAGTGCTGACCACCCCATACGAGAACCGAGAGGGATGGTTGCTGGCGGTCACTCTCTTCCGAGGGACTTTGTACATTAGCGAGTTTGAAACGGAGGCTGCCCGCAAAGAGCGGGAGCAACGCTCAGAAATGCTGAAGGAGCTCACGTACATGGGATACAAATTTGAGCAATATATGTGTGCTGGTAAGGTTTCCGGAGAGCTCCCAGCTCTGATTTGAAAGCCAGGTCTTAGGGGCAATGCTCAGTTTCCCCCCCACCCATAGTTCCTGAACTGAGCTGGTGGCTGCTCTCTTTTCCAGAATGTTTGAATTATTAGGAATGATGCAGACAAAGGAGGAGGAGAGCCATGTTTGTCTGTGGTAGCCAAAATCACAAAAAATCTGGGAGACACTTTTGGGGAAATGGATATTAATCAGTTAATCCAGCTAATGATTGACTGAATGGCTGCAATGCTACTTTTAGTTTAGTTGACACTACAGGTAGTCCTTGATTCTTGACCTTTGAATTAGTGACTGTTCAAAGTTACAACGCTGCTGAAAAAAATCCGGTCCTCACACTTATAATTGGTCCTTGCACTTACGGCCGTCCTACTAATCCCACGTTCACATGATTTCAATTCGGGCGCCTGACATCCGGCTCACATTTACGACCGACTGTGGTGTCTCGTGGTGGTGGTGGTGATCCCGATTTGCAACTTTTTTTTTGCAAATTTCCAGCAAGAAATATCCAAAAGAATGGGTTTGCACTTAGGACTGTAGGATTCATTTAATGACCATGGTAAGTCGCTTAACGACTATCCTAAAAATGGTTCTAAAACCATGTCTGACTCATGACAGAAATTCCAGCCCCAATTGTGTTAGTAAGTTGAGGACTGTCTATACCAGGGGTAGGCAACCTTGGCTCTTTTATGACTTGTGGACTTTAATACCCAGAATTCCTGAGCCAGCCATGCTGAGGGGAAAGGGAGAGGTTTCCAAGCTGAGCCATTGAAGTCCACGAGTCATAAAAGAGCCAAGGATGCTTACCCGTGGTCTATACAGTTACTTGAACTTCCAGGAAGTGCCCAAATTTCTCATTCTTCTCCAGATTCTCCAGATGGGATTCCTGATCCAACAGGAGTAGTGAATACAAATGAAGCTTTCTGCACCGTGATTCGGTCCCGCCTGGGAAGTCACTCACTTCTCTTCTCCGGAGAGGTAGATTGCACTGATCCCCGAAGCCCTTCGCCGCAGCCCCCTACTTGCTACGTGGAGCTGAAGACTAGCAAAGTCATGCACAGCCCTGCTCAGAGGAGAAGTTTTTACAGGTGAGGAAGGAGCAGTCGAAATTGCGTTGGTACTGGCTGAGGAATTCTGGGAGTTGAAGTCCACAAGTCTTAAAAGTTGCCAAGTGTGAAGACCCCCATCTTAAAGAAACAAAGCCCTTTCCAGCTTACTGGGTGGGGTTCCCTTAAATGCAGGTTTGCCTTCGTTAATAGTCATCTGTCTTTTTTTCTTTTCAGGCACAAGCTAATCAAGTGGTGGGCCCAGTCTTTTCTTCCAGGGGTATCCCGGATTGTGGCAGGGTATCGGGGGCCGGATGGCTCAGTTGTGGGGCTGGAAACTTTTGAGACTATGAAAATATTCAAACTCATTCGGGTAAGTTTAACTCTGGGACAAGGCCAGGCCCCTTTGGCGCCTCATCAGGGAACCCCCTCGACGGGATCCAAGATGGCCGCTGCAGCCACACAGTTGACACCAGGCCACTTTTAAAAAAAATATGTCTTGCACTCCCCTGAATTGCAAGTTGCCTGATGCAAATCTTATACAGATAGTCCTCGACTTACCACAGTTCATTTAGTGCAGGGGTAGTCAACCTTGGCTCTTTTATGACTCGTGGACTTCAACTCCCAGAATTCCTGAGCCAGCTAAGTTAAGCTGGCTCAGGAATTCTGGGAGTTGAAGTCCACGAGTCATAAAAGAGCCAAGGTTGACTACCCCTGATTTAGTGGTTCGTTCGAAGTTACAATAGCATTGAAAAAAGTGACCGATGATCATTTTGCACACTTGCGACCGTTGCAGCATCCACCTGATCACATGGTTTCCATTCGGATGCTTGGCAACTGGTTCATATTTATGACGGTTGCAGCGCCCGGGATCATGTGATCCCCTTTTGCGACCTTCTGACAGGCAAAGTCAGTGGGGAAGCCAGATACACTTAACAACTGTGTTACTAATTTACTTCTTTTAAGGGCTGGCAATGAAAAGATATATACTGTACTTGGTTGTGTATATGCCTCAAAACAGCTGGGTTTATTTCTAAGTTACAATTTCTTCACTACTCCGACAGGACGATCCAGGCTGTTGGAAGCCAGCTGTGTGTATGAATTTCTGTGCTGCTTTTCTAGCCTTTTTGAAGACGGTGGTGACGGAAGACAATCCAAAGTGAGTAGTTGTAATTTTGGCTCACCTGGCAGAAAGCCACGATCATTCAATAGTTGACTAGGCCAAGAAATGGAGCCCGACGACCTCTGGAAGTTGCTAAATGGTAACTCCTAGCAGCCACAACTGGTGTGGCCAACAACTAGAAATGCTAGAAGTTGGACTTCAGCACCATCTGGAAGGGGATAGGTTCTCCATCCTTGCACGGCTTAGGAGAGAGATGTCTCCTCTTCGGTTCCCAAGCATTGGCAACAGTGAGGTGTCACAAGCTAATCATTAAAAGAGACAGACCAGCAATCCTAGGTTTTGCAATCATGGTGATGGACGATGGGAATTATTTCTGAGGGAACTGAACGTTTGCTGCCCTGATCTCAAAAGTTCACTTTCATTTGTCTGAAATGGTATATAGGGTTTCCTGCCTGAGCAGGGGGTTGGACTAGATGACCTCCAAGGTCCCTTCCAACATCATCATCATTATTATTATTACTACTACTACTACTACTATTACTACTACTACTATTACTATTATTAAATGTAAAAAAGATGTTGAGACTCTAGAAAGAGTACAGAGAAGAGCAACAAAGATGATTAGGGGACTAGAGGCTAAATAGGAACGGCTGCTGGAATTGGGTATGTCTAGTTTAACGAAGAGAAGGACGAGGGGGGACATGATAGCAGTGTTCCAATATCTCAGAGGCTGCCACAAAGAAGAGGGAGTCAAGCTAGTCTCCAAAGTGCCTGAAGGCAGGACAAGAAGCAATGGGTGGAAACTAACCAAAGAGAGAAGCAACCTAGAACTAAGGAGAAACTTTCTGACAGTTAGAACAATTAATCAGTGGAAAAATCTGCCTTCAGAAGTAGTGAGTGCTCTAACACTGGAAGTTTTTAAGAAGAGACTGGACAGCCATTTGTCTGAAATGGTGTAGGGCAGTGATGGCGAACCTTTTAGAGACCGAGTGCCCACATTGCAACCCAAAACCCACTTATGTATCGCCAGGTGCCGGGTGGATGTGGGCGGGCGCAGCTACAGTGGGCTTGGCAGACTGGGTGGGTGTGGTCACTGGATGGGTGTGGCTGCAGTAGTCATGGCAGATTGGGTGGGCATGGTCGGGGTGGGCATGGCCACCTTGTTGCTTATGGGGAGGGACACCTGTGGGAGCTGGGCAGGTTGGGGGAGGTCCAGGGGGTCTCTGGCGGGTGGGATTCTGGGCTCCCCAATGGTGGCTCCAGGCTGGCTGGCCTTTTAGAGACCACGTGTGCTGGGGCGATGGTGCGTGCCCACAGAGAGGGCTCCGTCTGCTGCCTCTGGCATGCGTGCCATGGGTTCGCCACCACTGGTATAGGGTTTCCTGCCTGAGCAGGGGGTTGGACTAGATGACTTCCAAGGTCCCTTCCCAATATTATTATTATTATTATTATTATTATTATTATTATTATTATTATTATTATTATTATTAATAATAATAATAATAATAATAATAATAATAATAATAATAATAATTTTCTTTTTCTTCTTTTTCTTCTCCTTCTCCTTCTCCTTCTTCTTTTTCCTCTCTTCCAGGTTGGTTCATCTCTTTGCCTGGAACCCAGGGCACCCGGTTTCCTTCACAGTGCATCAGGATTCTCAGTACCGTTTCCTGCCTGACTGGTACGTGGAGGCTCTGAGTGCAGAGAAGCCCCCCACATCATGACTCCCGGATTGATGCACTGGAAGTCAAGCTGGTTTTGGGTCAAGAAACCGCTGGGTGGTAGACAGAAACAGGTACCAAGAAGTCAGTTACCTGCTACTTGGAGAACGGGAAGACGGCACGATGGCACTGCTGTGATAACAAAGGAAGGAAAAACCAACTGCCCCTGCATTGTCTTCTGTTGGTTGCTTCTGCAGCATGTTCTTTCTCATGTCATCTGTGGTTTACAAACAATAAAGGAGGGAGCAAAAGTGTAACTATGAACTAAGAGTGTCCTTTGGTTGATTGAAGCCTAATTGAAGTCAAGTAAGATGGTTTGAGCTCTGCATGTGCCTCAGCCAGTTGTGGGTAATTTAGCATAATATCCATAATTGGAACATATTTAATACGATGTATGAATTGAATCAGCCATTAGACCAGGGGGGTCAAACTCAATTTCATTGAGGGCCGCATCAACATTGCGGTTGCCCTTGGGGGGGTCGGGGTGTGTGTGGCCAGAGTGGGTGCAGCCTATTGGGTGGGCGTGGATGGAGTGGGTGTGGCCTACTGGGTGGGCGTGGCCAGCTCTACATCGTTCGTGTCAAGGGTGCCTGTGGGGGCCTGGGAGGAGTGGGACAGGGTCTCTGGCAGAAGGGGGTGGGACCAGGGCAAGTGCCAAGGCATGGTCCACTGGAGGAGCCTCACTGTTCCTCTTAGGACATGCGGGGGGGAGGGCTGGATGGTGGTGCAGGCTGTGGGGAGCCCTGGGCAACAGAGATCAAATATATTTGCTGGCCACTTCCAGGCAATGGTGCCTTTCTTCATTCCTCACAAAGGGTGACACCTCTCCAGCATGCACCCAGGGGGTGGGGCCGATGCGGCAGGGGCTGGTTCCTCGCTGTTTCCAGACGGCCTTGTGGAGCTAAGACTGAATGCGTTTCAGCATAGATGGCCACCACAAAATTGTACATGGGCTCCCGGCAGGCCTGGGCCAGGGCCGAGGCAGCGGGGGCCATTCCTTCACTGTTTCCAGGATGGCTTCGCGGGCCACATGAAACCACTTCGCGGGCCGCATCCGGCCCCCCGGGCCTTGTGTTTGACATGTCTGCATTAGACACGCAGACATAAACTACATTTACGTCCATTCAAAAGAGAGAATAAAAAGTTGAGAAGGAAACAAAAAGACCAGAACACATCCTCTCCAGCAATCAATACAAAGATAAGCAGACCTGAGTGCTGCATGATGGGGTGAGCTCCTGTTTTTGCTCCACCTAGCAGTTTGAAAGCATGCAAATGTGAGTAGAAATGTCTTTGGACAATGCTGGCTCCCTCAGCTAAGAAAGAGAGATGAGTATCGCCCGCTAGAGGCAATACTGGACAGGGGGAACAACTGGACAGGGGAAAGCTTGACTTTTTACTGTAAGCTGGCTGGGGAATTCTGGGAGTAGAAGTCCACATGTCTTAAAAGTTGCTAAGTTTGAGAAATATTGGATTAGATCAGGGGTCCCCAACCTATGGGCTCTGACCCACTACTGCGCTGTGGCCTACTGGCCACCGGGCCGTGGGACAGACTTGCCAGTGCGTGCATCACCCCCACTCACGCTAGCACCCACGGACCCATTTGCACCTGCATGCAGAGCTAGCAGTGGCAGCTAGCGCCTGCGTGCCAGCACAAATGGGGCCACTAGCGTACCCAGGTTGCACAGCCCGTTTGCACATGTGCACGGGCTAGCAGCGGTGGGGGCTAGCACCTGTGTGTGCATGCGCATACGGAGGCCGCTAGCCCCATGCGGGTTTTGTGGCCCATTTGTGCATGCGCACGGGGGCTACCCCTGTGTGCACATGGGACTGCTAGCGCTATGCGGGTTATGTGGCCTGTTTGCGCATGTTCATGTTCTGCCTGGGATCATCTAAAATTTCAGTCCCTTCTCACAGGTATTTTCATTAAGCCAGATCCCCTCTTCCTGCTTCCCCCTCCTATATCTGTGCATGTGATGTTTTGTCTCAGTGCAGAACTATGGGATTTTTTGGGCCCTGTTGCTACGGGAAAAAAAATACCAGCTAACTAGCAGCTTTTGGCCAAACACAGAATCCAACGTGATCAGCAAAAAGAGGCCAGCAAACTGGAGAGAAGATGGAACATCTTTCCTTCGAACAAAGGAGGCGTCAACCTGTTTGGGCCACCTTTTTTACTACGTGAAGACAGGCCCCTTGTTTGGCACAAGGACGCAATTTTTTATTGTTTACATCTGCAGATGCATTGCAAAACCTCTTAGAGGTCAGAATAAGGGAGGGAGAACTTTCCAGGATGGCAAAAAAAGGATCCCGTCCAGCTAGCATCTCCCCTCACTGGGTGTAGAGGCTAGCGGCAAAGACAATGTCTCTCTTGATCATGTTGGAGGCGGCCTCCATCTTGGCGTGCAGGGTCGGCTCCCCCGTCACCCGGGCAGCGTTGCGCATCTCGCGACAGGTTTCATCCAGCCGCTGAATGCAGCGGACGATGATGCCTTCCTGCACGTCTGTCAGGTGGGCGATCTCGGCGAAGGGCTGAGGAGGACAGAGACGAAAATGGAAGGCCTCGGATCTCAGGACTGAGGCGCACCTTCTTTGTCAGAACTGCCACCTCACGCCTGACGTCCGGTACCAAGTCTGCCATGAACCCTGGGGGGGGGAGGGGGAGGGGGAGAGGGAGGGGGAGTGCTTGGGGGGGGGAAATGGAAAGTTACAAAAAGTGAAGGTGCCTCTCCAAGACGGTGGTTCGAGGTCACCTTGCTATGAGGAAAATGCAGCTGCGAGCCAGGCTAAAATCAGAGTGTGGCCATTTCAAAAATATCTTCTTGGAGATTGATAGGACGATGAGTGTGTGTGTGTGTGTGTGTGTGTGGCAGAATGGGAAATGTCCAATAGCAATAGCAATAAGACTTATATACCGCTTTGTAGTGCTTTACAGCCCTCTCTTAGTCTAAGCCAGTGATGGCGAACCTTTTAGAGACCGAGTGCCCAAACTGCCACCCAAACCCCACTTATTTATCGCCGGGTGCCAGGTGGGCGTGGCCCACTGGGTGGGCGTGGCTGTGGTGGTCATGGCAGACTGGACGGGTGTGGCCACCTCGATGTTGCTCGTGGGGAGGGATGCCTGTGGGGGCTGGGCAGGGTTGGGGGAGATCCAGGGGGTCTTTGGCAGGTGGGGCGGTGGGCAGGAGGCTCGTCCTGCGGAGTGAGGCGAGGCAGGGCGGGGGTGCCACTGTCGCAGGGCAAGGCGAGGCAGGGGCCGGGGCGGCTGCTGCCTGACACCATTGACCCCCGCACACAGAGGCAAGTGAGCGCATGGAGGTCAACAGTGTCCGTCAGCAGCCACAGCCTGCCGGCCCCTCAACCGGCGCACTCTGGGGCTTCGCAGCACGCCCCCAGCAGTTCAGAGAAGCCGCCTCTGAGCTGGACAGACAGCCGACAGCTCAGGAGGCGATGCAGTGGGTCGTGCCCGGGAAAAAGAGAGCATGTGAGGCCAGGGGGGGAGGGGGGAAGGGAAACCAGCCATGCTGGGATGCATCTGGCCACGTGGGACCTCGGCGAGTTAGCGGGCGGCTGGTTGAAGAAGGACAGTTGCCTCTTCACAGAGAGGGCTCTGAGTGCCGCCTCTGGCACGCGTGCCATAGGTTCGCCACCACTGGTCTAAGCGATTTACAGAATCAGCATATTGCATCCCCAACAATCTGGGTCCTCATTTTACTGTCCCCGGAAGGATGGAAGGGCTGAGTCAACCTTGAGACGGTCAGGATCGAACTGCTGACAGTGCGCAGAAAGTCCGAGTGACAGGTCTTGCTTAATGACTTTGCAGGGAAGGGACCTATCAACCACCACTTTCTGGTCGTCAGGAAAGCTACTCAGTAATCCATTGGATGGTCCACAGGCAGTCATCCCTTTTCTGTTACCTCGTCCTTTGGGTTCCCCAACTTGTCTCATTGTTTTTTGGTTATCTCACTGTCCCAAATGGTCAACCCATAAAAAAAGAAGAAGCTATCCTGCTCCCCCCAGCTCTGCAAAGAGAGAAGCTGTTTGTCTGTCTTAGGGTAGGAGAGGGAAAGACGGTCCCGGTGGGATAAGCCAACCGGGAAGGTAAGGGGTGGAGCCTTCATCCTTACCATGCCACGGGCCCACTCATAAACCACCTCCACCAGCCCGAATTTGTACTGCTCCACAAAATCCTCGACCGATTCTTGCAGGCCGCACTTGCGTTGCAGCAGGGCGATCTGTTCGGCTACGGAACGGATGTGCTCTATGCCCTGAAGGACGAAGAGGGAGAGAGAGGCTGGGGGGTGGGGTCCATCGAGGAGACACGGACCTAAATGGCAGCTCAGGTCTACCCCTAGGTCCCACTTCCCTCCCATCTTCCACTACCCACTCACCTTCTGAAGAACAGAGGGCAGCTGGGGCTCCACCTGGGTGCGGACCTGGCACACCGTGCAGCTCAGCAAGGCCACAATCTCCTCAGGTCGCAGGTCGGTCAGGGCATTGTCCAGAAGCAGCTGCGTCAGGAGCAGCTCATGGTTGCTGATCTGACGGGCCACGCTGCCCTTGAGCTCCACGGCTCCTCCTTCGTTGATGTAGCCCAGGGAACGCAAGACCTGAGGTGAGCAGAAGCGGAGACTAAAAAAAAACACCCAACGAGCTCTACCTCTGACCAGGGAAGAAAGAAGAACACTCTCCCTTTGACGATTCCACGAAATTGACTTCACCCTGGGGACATGCTGTAGAAATAGCACTAATGCTCAGATTTATATACCGCTGCACGGCCCTCTCTAAGCGGTTTTACAGAATCAGCATATTGTCTCCCCAAAAACAATCTGGGTCCTCATTTTACCAACGTCGGAAGGATGGAAAGCTGAGTCAACTTTGAGCCGGTCAGGATTGAACTCGTGGCAGTCAGCAGAGTTAGCCTGCAATGCTGCATTCCAACCACTGCACCACCATGGCTCAACTTCAACTTCTAAGTTGAAGCTGAAGTTGAATGCTGTACCAGCATCAATAGCCATTTCCTACCCAAGCAAGTGGAGCCCCAGGCTGTAGGTTCAGAGGAAGGCAGAAGAGATGGAGAGTTGGCTAGGGAAAATGAGGCAGGGAGGGGCAAAATTCAAGACCAAAAAAAAAGACCATTGAAAACACGCAATCCTCTTTGCTAAAATGTGACCTCTGCTCTCTCTCTCTCCACAAATAATACAAGCATTTTGGTTGGCGCCCGGCTCAACCAAATAGCCTGGCTTGGAATCTTTTGGGGTCGAGAAGCCCCACTGAACATTTTGGGAGAAGGAGAAGGCTGCAGGAAGTCAAATGTCCATAAAATATTAGCAAAAACTAGAATTTTTATATTTTGTTGGAGACAAGGTTGTAGGGCTCAGACTTGCTTCTGTTTCTCTTAACGAAAATGATACAGAAATGATACTCCTTGACTGATGACCACAATAAAGGCCGGAAAATTTGTTATGCGGTGCAGTCTTTAAGTGTGACATCACAGGACAGCAACTTGCAACCTTCCCTTCAGACTTCCCCATTGACTTTGCTTACGAGAAGCCAGCTGGGAAGGACACAAATGGCGATCACGTGATCGCAGGACACTGAGCGTCGCAAATGCACAAGCTGCCAAGCGCCTGAATCATGACCGTGTGACTTTGGGGATGCCGCGATGGTCATAAGTGCGAGGATGGGTTGTAAGTCCCTTATTTCAGTGCCGTCATAACTTTGAACAGTGGCTAAATGAACGGTCACAACACAAGAACTACCTGCATGAAGCCCATTGGTTGTTGTTGTTAGTTGCGAAGTCATGACCGACCCATCGCGACCCCATGGACAACGTTCCTCCAGGCCTTCCTGTCCTCTACCATCTTCTGGAGTCCATTTAAGCTCACGCCTACTGCTTCAGTGACTCCATCCAGCCACCTCATTCTCTGTTGTCCCCTTCTTCTATTGCCCTCCATCTTTCCCAGCATTAGGCTCTTCTCCAGTGAGTCCTTCCTTCTCATTAGGTGGCCAAAGTA